GTTTCTTGATTTATATTCCCGCTATTGTCTGTTCTAGTAGTTGAAAAGGAATCTGTGCGCATGCAATTATGCATGGGAATGACACTCACTCTATAGATCTTGGATGCTCCGAACACCCAAAGAACTGTTGAGAATGACCGCTGGAAGCGTGGTTCTGCACTTCTGTAAATTGTGTACTCAGATTGTAACTTTCATTTATTTATAAATAGATGAGGAGCATTTTATAACTCACCGCCATCACTGTATGCAATGTTTCATTTAAACTCTTGATGCATGCCATGTATTTGACATTTCTTCCTTAATCTACTGGACAATGTTAACGAGCTTCAGAAATTATCAAACTGGTCCATTCAATGTTCCTATATTTGGGAACTTCCAGTTCTTTTTGGCATTATACCAACGTCTTGAACTTCATTCCAAAAGTACAAGTTTACTAGAATGAATTTGTAATGCATCTTCCCCGCTATTGATTGAAAATAGCATTTTCTCCCCTCCCCTTCCCTTTCTGTGGATCATTGGAAAAACAATGTCAGACAGATTTTGTGGCCATTTAGCATTTGTATGGTGCTTAATTCTCGACTTTTTATCACCAACATCTGCTCTGTATGTGAATTATAGCAGGGATGTCTTTAACATTTGTTTCCTAACTAACTAAATTGTACATATATCTGAATTGTGTTCTGTTTCAATTGGGCGATGCCATGAATCTTTGGATATAGATTTGGCAATAACTTTATGCGACTTTATGGTTATTTGAATGAAGAATTAACTTGTATTAACTTTCTCTACTTAATTTTGAAGTCCATCTTCTCCAGTTCAATCAGGCCCTCCTCTTCTTTGACCTGTATTAATTATCTATGAACTAGGAAATGTTTGAAGTGTTCTCTCTTTTTTTGGTTCTAATGGATTTACTTTTAACAGCTCCTTTGAGTGGGCCTCTAGTGATTGCAGAAGCCTTGGGTGGTGGGAAGAGTGCAATAAAGCCTATGAAGTTAAAGGACCAATCTAAGAAAGACAGGTATCTTCTCAAACGCCGAGATGAACAACCAAGTAACTTCAAGGACTTTGAGGCTAATCAGGAGCCGGCAACTTCTACTGTTCCCTTATCTCTTGTTGCAGAATCCGCTGACACTGTGGGTGCTGGAGATTACGTTCTCTTGAAGAGGACTCCAACTACCCCTGTCAAGCCTCATGGACTGACAAAAAGTGAACACGCTGGGTTTGTTGGTACCAATATTGAAACTTTTAATTTGAGTTTACCTAGCAATGAAACTGAGGCAAAACAGATGGCTGTGGGCACCAATGTTGTTAGCCAAGGACATTCTATGATCGTTGAGGCATCTTCTGTTAAGGAAGTTATTCGTCTTGAGGAACCGAAAGAGACAACGGCACCTAGTGAAGTTCTCAATTCTAGGAGTGATGCCTCCTCGGATATGGCAAATGAGAGGGACTTTCCTAGATTGTTGGTGGGTCGTGAGCCTCTTTGTGACCAATTCGACGTTTCAGGTGAAGTTAGATATGCAGGGATGGAAAATATATCGATATCGACATCTTCTGAAGTTCCTCGACAACCTGAGCTTAGTAATTCATTGAACCTTGAAGGCGACCGTGCATTGGATAAAAATTTAGACAGCCGTGTTGACCTTGAACCTTCAACAGCTGGTGCAAAGTTTTCTGATGGAGGTGGTTCAGTAGGAGGAGTTGTGAAACCGAAAGTTCTAAAACGGCCAGCAGAAGACATGAGCTCCTCCGCCACTCCGTTCATGGGGGAGAAAAGGAAAAAGAAGAAGAAGCGAGCCATTGGTGCAGAAATGGGTTCTCAGTCAGCCTCAAAGAAGGTTGGGAGCTTCGTTGGAAAAGTTGCAGAAAAATCAGATCAGGTTGGCGTAGCGTTTGGGCGAGGGAGCGATGAATATGACGTGCCCCAACTGTTGAATGATTTACAAGCCTTTGCTCTTGATCCTTTCTATGGGGTTGAAAGGAACTGCTATGTGATTGTTCAGAAGTTCTTCCTGCGATTTCGGTCAGTTGTTTATCAGAAAAGTTTGGTTTCGTCACCACCATCCGAGGCTGAATCCACCGAACTTCGTGCAGCTAAATCTCCAAATGCTACTACCCTTGGAATCGATAATTTGGGCGAAAATGTTAGAGAATCGTCGTCCTCAAACTCGGTTAAACTCTTACGCAGACATGACGATCCCACAAAAGCTGGACGGAAACGGGTCCCATCGGATCGACTAGAGGAAATTGCATCAAAGAAATCAAAGAAAATGGGTGATTTGAAATCGTTGGCATCAGAGAGAAAAGCTACCCAGAAACGTGAATCTGTAGTATTGAAGACAGTCGAGCGAGATTCGAAGAAGTTGGAGCCTTCTTCAGTGAGAAAAGTTGATCCAACCATGCTTGTTATGAAGTTTCCTCCCGAAACATCACTTCCATCTGCTAACGAGCTAAAGGCGAGGCTTGGTCGGTTCGGGCCTATTGACCAGTCGGGGCTCCGTATCTTCTGGAAAACATCAACATGCCGCGTCGTTTTCCTTTACAAACCAGACGCTCAAGCAGCATACAAGTATGCAATGGGAAACAAATCCTTATTTGGAAATGTCAACGTGAAGTACCAACTTAGAGAGGTTGGAGCTCCTGCAACTGAAGCACCTGAATCCGAGAAGGGCAGTGCAGCAGATGACAATCCTACCGAAGCCCTTAGGATGAAGGATCCATCGGTCTTGCCAGGACGAGCACCGACTCCAGTAATACATCAACCATCCCTTCCACAACTCCCAGCAGTCCAGCTGAAATCATGCCTAAAGAAGTCGTCGGGTGATGAATCTGGTGTACCACCGAGTGTCGGCACGGGAGGCAGCAGCAGCAGCAAAGGAACGACGCGAGTGAAATTCATGTTGGGCGGGGATGAAAGTAATAGAAACAACAACATCAATGATAATTTTGCAGATGGTGGAACATCTTCTGTTGCAATGGATGATATTAATAGTAACTTCTTTCAAAAGGTCGTTTCTACACCTCCACTCTTAATTCCTCCCCAATTCACCAATCCCCCTCATAGCATTACTACTACTACAAACATTATGCACTCGGAATTGCCACAACCTAGAAATACACTCAGCCACCACCACCACCACCACCACCGCACACCCACCATGACACCACCGCCGCCCACTGACATTTCCCAGCAACTGCTGAGCCTTTTAAAAAGATGCAGCGATGTGGTCACCAATGTGAGTAGCTTGTTAGGCTACACGCCTTACCACCCTCTATGATGAGAAAAGAAAAAAAAAAAAAGAGATCTGCACAACGTTTGTCAAAAATTCACACAACCCCATGGCTAATACTCTTCTATACCAAAACTGGGAACTAAGATGAGAAAACGGGTGTGGTTTTCAGTTTCGATTGAAACTCGATCGAGTGAGGTCGAGACTGAATGCATAACTTCGTCCAAATTGAATCGGAATGGGAGAGAATGAGAGGAGGAGCGCCAGGTTTGGGATTCCATGGGCTTCAATTGTTGAAAGATGATGGGATTTGATGTTTGTGATGGCATTCATAATGTACTGATAGATATTCTTACTGTATTGCTCATTGCTTAATTGCATCTTTCTTTCGTTTTTTTTTTTTTTTTTTTTTTTTTTTTTTTTTTTTTTTTTTAGCTTCAAAATTTCTCATTGTACATTGTTGATTGAGGATTTTGATTGGTCCGCAAATCCCCAAATACTCTGATTAAAGATTGACTGCTCTCTCTCTCTCTCTCTCTCTCTCTCTCTCTCTCTATATATATATATATATATAGAAAAATTAATTATTTATTGTATTTTTAGGATAATTTAAATGATTAATATCATTGTTTTGTCTAAAAGAACTACTAATAAATAAAAAGTTAATTAGTTTAAGACTTATTTTTAATAGAGTTGAGAAATACAAAAATTAGTTCAAATTTGATTAATTAGTTTATTTATTTATTTAAAATACCATTAAAATAAATACTTAAAGCTCAATGGTATTTCAAATAGAGAAAAAAAAAATCAAACTTTCCCAATAAATTAGCTCAATAAAACATTCCATTTTATAAATATTATCTAAAATTTCTAGTGGGATCAATAATAAATAAATAAATAAATAAAAAGGAACTAAAAGCTAGAGTTGTAATCACCATTTGACCCACACTAAATAAAATTAAAATTTTATTAGAGATTATTATAATAAAAGAAAAATAAAAATATTTTGGTAGTGAAAAAATAACGAAATTGGCTGTATCTAGTGAATTCTAGACTTTTGGAGTTATTACGCCCATTTCATCCTTTGAACTTAGCTTTCAATGCACGCTCTCCACGCGCTTTGGACGCCACTTTCATAGCGGTTTTTATTTATTTATTTATTTATTTTATTATTTTAATATATAATTTAACTCTTTGAGATTTTTTCTTTAATGTTTTTTTTTTTTTACTAAAGGCCTGGTTCATGGTATTGTTAGATGAACACTGACCTATCCACAATGTATGATATTGCTTTCGTTATAAATCCATGATCATTCCCTAAATTGGTTGATGTGGAACTTTTCTTTTCATGAACTTTATTATAAACCTATGATCATTTCCTAAATTAGTCGATGTGAGACTTTTCTTTTTATCCAACACTTCCCTCAAACAAAGTGCGCCTTCTCATTGGCACAGTCCTGATACTATGTTAGATGAACACAATTCTCCAAAATAGTATGATATTATGACTTTGTTTTGGGCTTTTGCCTCGTACCAAAGGAGTTTTTATTTATTTAAAGAAAAAAAAAATGAAAAAACGCGGAAAAAGGGAATTTGGAATCCCATAAGAAACGCGTTTAAAAATTCACAATTATTTTTTTCCTTTTCATAGTCGGTTTCTTTTAATTAATTAATTAATTAATTAATCCCACTTCCCTGGAAACTTCTTTTATTTTATTTTTTTTCTTAATTTCCTTACCGCATTATATATAACCGATCCCTTCATTTACGACGCTCATAGTTATCTGCAAGTTTCGAAAGCCTCTCTGAATCTTGAGATTTGTTGTTCATTTTTCCTTTTGAATCCAATTAAATTTTTCTTCTTCTGATTCTTTGTTCATGGAGTGTAGAACTTTAGATATCAACATCAAGAGGGCCTACGGCCTCAAGAACGTCAATCTCTTCTCCACGATGGATGTATACGCCGTCGTTTCGATCTCCGGTGATCCCCGCGGGAAGTCGAAGCAGAGGACTCCGGTGGCTAAAGACAGTGGCTCAGATCCTTACTGGAATTATCCGATGAAGTTCACGATCGATGAGGCTGCCGCACAGAGCAATCGCCTCAATCTTAAGATCAAATTCGTTTCCAGTCGGAGCTTAGGCGATAGGAAGATCGGTAAGGTTGTTGTTCCGATCAAGCGATTGCTCGATGAAAGTGCTAAAGGAGATGAAGGAAAATCCGAGAGAACCCTAACTTTCAGCGTCAGGACGTTGAGCGGAAAGGAAAAAGGTACCGTCGAATTTTCGTACAAATTTGGGGAAAAATACACGGTTCAGGCACCTCCACCGCCACCACCGATTATGAAGTCCAGTGAGCCGGTTACAGCTTATCCCCTAGGTTATCCTGGATCTAGTTCCGGATATGCGGCCGGAGGTGCACATCCGCCTCCTGCGGGAACCGCTTATGCATATCCGCCTCCGCAGCAAGGATACGGATATCCACCGCCTCCACAGGCTGGATATGGCTACGGCGGTTACCCTCCGCCGCAGCAGGGGCATGGATATGCGCCGTATAAGCCACAGAGGCCGCAGAGGAGTGGTATGGGCGGTATGGCTTTGGGAGCCGGAGCTGGTCTGCTTGGAGGTTTGCTAATCGGCGACATGATCTCAGATGTGGGTGATTCGATGGCTTATGATGCTGATTTTGGTGATGGCTTTGATTTCTAAAGCCATCTCGTTCTTCATCATCTTCTTCTCCTCGTTTTCTGATCATTTTTTCTGTCATGTAAATACAACTTCTAAAGCTTTAGATTACAGAGATTACTTGAATAAGTTTTGGGAATTATCCATTAGAATATGGTAAATGTGCTTTTAGATTTGTGATGTTTGTAAATTAATCTTCCACTGACATTAGATTGAATCGATTGTAGCTTCTGTTTTGCTGATCTTTAATAATCTATTGCTCCCATCACTTCATTTGTTTTGGATTTCAACATGGCAACTGAACTGTGCTTCATTAACACATTTAGATCCATAGATTCTGTGTGTATGATATGAAAAATGTTGCACGAATGGTTTTGAAAATTTGATATGTAGAATATTGGAATATTAGGTCATATCATATGTTGATCTCCACAGAATATGTTCTAAAGAAAACATTCCTTCCCTTAAGCTTTTCTCAAAGAAAAACTACTTTTATTTTCATATGCTTTAGTGTAACTTCAAAAAGAAAAGAAGCGACAACACTAAACTCGAGTTCAAAAACTATTTCCATACATTAATTTCTTGATAGCCATTCGAAGAGCTCAAGAACATACTATCATCTGTTCCGATTGTGGCATACAAGAACAAAGAACCAGCAGCGCCAACAGCGGCAATCCGCCAAAGCATGTTGTGTGAGAGCTCGAGACGTATCACTGTAAAAATCAAATTCGTCAATAGGAGAAAAATCAGAATTTCGATTGAAGATCATAGTGGTTAACATAAAATATTACCAGAGACTGAATCATCTGGCGCTGTCTTCATTGCTCGGAATAACTCACGAACGTCTCTGTTAAACCCGTGCCTGCACCCTGCCCGTCCGGTAGAACTCCGACAAGGAGATGAACAATATTGAGCCCTGATTCCACATTCTACACATCAGCCTAACAGTTTTGTGAAATGAAATAGCTGATGGAGATAAACAGTTAACTATTTTATTGTAAATTTTGATTCAGTATCATGTTCGTAATAGTTAAATTCTTACAAGTTTCTTACAAATCATCATGAAATCTAGTGTCAGTAAACCGAAGAGTGGACTCTATGATGATAATCTTTGAACTTGCAATCTATGATAATGACATACGGAGAACTTGATTCTGACTTTTGATGTACATTACAAAGAGAACTGATATTCACAGAGCAAAATGACGAGAACAAAACACTTGAAAACGATTGTGTTCCCAATAGATATTGTGAAATGGATACGTACATCAGACAAACTAGAGATCAAAACAGCTAGTTCTTCTAAGAAACTAGGGAATCAAGGAGAGAGCACCAAATTTATACACAAAAAGAAAAAAATCATTCACGGAAACATTTACTTAATTTAGGTCTTCTTTGGCGATTTCTGAGCCTTTTCTGCAGGAGAAGTGGAATTCGACGATGACTTCTTGGGAAGGAGAACTGGATGGATGTTTGGAAGAACACCACCACTGGCAATGGTGACTCCTTGAAGCAATTTTCCAAGCTCCTCATCATTCCTCACAGCCAGAAGAACATGCCTAGGGTTTATCCTGTTCTTCTTGTTGTCACGAGCAGCATTCCCAGCCAATTCCAAAACCTACATTACGATCAACACAAATTTTAAAATCGAGAACTGTTTACGTTGTAGGAATGCGAATGAAGATAAATTTCATCTCATATATTTTACTACCTCAGCGGCGAGATATTCGAGGACAGCAGCCAAGTAGATCGGAGCTCCGGAACCAGTGCGCTGTGCATAACGGCCTTTCTTAAGGTACCGACCGATCCTTGCGACAGGAAATTGCAGTCCGGCCTTCACCGACTTCGATATCTTACTTCTGTTACCACCTTTTCTTCCACCGGCACCTTTGGTTCCTTCCATGGTTGAAAATTCAGAATCGAAGTTCCGGAATTCGAAGATTAATTGCAACGATTAATAGATGAACTGTATATTTATCCGACGATTAAGTTCGCGAATTAGGACTGGAGGTTGAATATAAAGGGGCTGTAATGGCGGGATGGTTGTTCTTTTCGAAAAATAATCGGACGGCTGGATATGCTACACGTACCAATCCTTGTGTTTCAATCCGACGGATCATATTGGAGGTCTCTTATGATAAGATCAGTTGTTCATTTTTGCGTAAGGAGATCTGACGGTTAGGTTTATGCCATGCTGGCAATCCGGGCATCGGGAAGTCCGTGGGTTTTGTTGTTTTTTTATCCGGATTGCCAAATTCTCTGGATTAATGCAAATATTAATTTATGATTTTCAAAGTTTTTAATCTTATTTTAAATACTTTCAGTTTAAATAATAATAATATCATTAAATTTTCAAATTTAATGTCTAATTAATAATATCTTGAAATTCTATAAAAGTCAATAAATGGCAAAACCCAATTGTTATTATTAAGGGATATATTTTTTTCACATGAGAAACATTAAACGAAATATATTTAAAAAATAAATAAAAAATAAACATATTATAGCTTCAAAGTAATAAATATTACAAAATTATGGAAATTTAATAAGCATCATTTAATTAATACTAACAATAATAATAATAATATAGCAACAATAAGTTAAAATAATTATCATTACGAAGAGAGAGAAAAAAAAAGTTTTCTTGGCAATAAATAAAAAGTAAATGCGCATCCGGGGAATCGAACCCCGGTCAGTACCGTGGGAGGGTACTATGATACCACTACACTAGATGCGCAGTTGATGACAGAGTCTTTTTTATAATTAATTAATTATTTTTCTTTAAAGTTTTTTTAGATAATAAGTTGATTTTGTCTTTAGGTCTCAAAACCGTCAAATCTTGTTATGGAGTCTTAATGGAATTAATTATTTCTTTAAAGTTTTTTTAGATCATAACCCATGTACACCCATAATAAACTGAGTCTTAATGGAGTGGATCAGGTTTATCTCAACTTTTTAGCTGATACTCTTTTTTGCCATCAATATCATATTTCGACCTGTCATTTTATCCGACTTTTACTATGACACACTAATGCACGTTAACTTATGAATGATATGTCTCGTTTGTATTTCATTCTATTTTTCATGTCTGCCCGAGTTATTAGTTAGAGTATAATTACTCTAAACGAAAAAAAAAAAAAAAAAAGAAGTAATTTAAATAAATTATTGTGACCTTTTTATTAATATTATATGTATTTATATTTATACTTTAACCCCATTAAATAAAGGTAAATATATTCTTGGCTTGTCCATTTCCATTTCCTTCAAACTAAGGAAAATCTTTGGAAGGCCCTCTTGAATTCAAAAGGCATTCCCTTAGTAAAGCTTCCCATGATTCGTTTTCTTCCTTTTATTTATTTATTTATTAAAATTATTATTAATTTAGGCCATTTTTCCATTTTTACGTGATCACATTAACTTTTATACGTTGAGCTATGCTTAAATTGATAAATTATTCGATTTTTTTTTTATTTGGTCCTATTTTTCTTAAAAGAAAATTCAATGCAAAACTATAAGGGTATTTTTGTCTTTTTCATATATAGATATATATTGAATTTTTTTTTTGAGTTTATTTATAATACATTTATTCTTTAAAGTAACTAAGGGTTTATTCTATCTCAAAAGGAAAGGTAGAACTACAATAAATAGATTCGATCTGTCTTGATCTAAAAGGAGATTCATATTAATAGGGATTTTTTTATTTTTTATTTTTATTTTTATCTTTTGGAAAGAATAAAAGGCAGAGACCGTCCTTCTATTGTGACATGGTACTAAGATTTGCCGAGGATTGTTCACAGAACTATGATGAAAATTCTTCGAACCATTTTTTATAGTAATGTTCCAATGTTCATTACGATTGGTGATATACTTTGATCGTGAGCTATAGCTATTTGTTAATCTTACTTCGATAATAAAAAAAATAGAAAAAAAATTAAAATAAAAATTAGGTAGGAGGTTAGTAATTAAGGGAAAAAATGATAAAAGGATTAAGAATAATAAAAAGTAAATTTTGGTATTAAAAAATGTTCGAGAATAATCGACGGCAACGGAGAAAACGGAGCAATTGGTGGAAAAGGGGAAACGGAAAGAAAAAGCATGGAATAAATGCGTTTCCGTTAACAGATTTTTTGACGGACTTTACAAATATATATTTTTTAAAATAAAGTAATTAATTATTAATAAGTTGTATTTGTTTATTTACTTTTTTTTTTTATTAAATAAAAGAAAAATCCAAATTTCTTCTCACCAACCAGAGAGGGAAGACAGCAGGTCAACTACTGCTGTGTTCAGTAGAAGATGAAATACCTGAAATGCCCTCAGATAATGTTTTGATTGCCAAGTTGCCATTAATTGAGCTTGGGTCGCTTCCCATTTTGTGGCTCATTTTTATTTATTTTATTTAAATATGACTAAATTAAGCAAAAACAATATCTTAAGACTTTTAATAATACTCGGATTGATTTTTTTTTTTTTTTAATTTTTTTAAAAACACTTTGATTAATTTTTTTTAAATACTTTTGCCGTTAGTATCACGTTCAAAAAATATTCGTATGCTTAAAAAAAAAAAGATATTAAAAAATTTGGAGTTCGTTTATGAAGTGTTGGTATACACTTTTCGTCCACAATAATAATATTTCTTTTTAATAAAGTAAATAATGTTTGCCTTAAGAATATTTTAATTTTTTTTAAAAAGAAGAAAATTAATGAAACTTTTTTAAATTTAAAAATATTTTTGAAATACTATTAAAAATTAAATATTTTTTAAACAAAATACAAAATTTAGAGGTATTTTTATTAATTTAATCTTCAAATTTCTATACTTAATTATAAAAAAGTTTAGATATTGCAAGAGTTCAAACCAAAAATTATAGTTATTTTAGATAAATAATTACGAAAAATAGAAGATTGAATCATTTACATTTAAGACGATAATTAACATATTTCTCCATTAAAGTAGGTTTGGATTAGATTATTAAACATAAAATTCAATATTTTATTTATTTATTATTATATATATATTTTTTTTGAGGATGATAGAAAAATGAAAAGAAAAATAGAAAAAATAATTTTTTTTTTTCCTCGAAACGCCGGCGTTTTCGGAACTTATTCATTTTTCCACGATTGGGTACTCAGTGGGAGTGGTTGTCCATTACGTTTTCAGAAAGAATCTCTCTGAATGGTATAACCGTAATTAGGTGGAAAAAGAAGGGTATATGTTCTGACCACGTTCTAAATAAGTCTTGGACTAGCTTCTCCCAGCTCGCTTTTCTGTCTAAAGAAAAACCCGGTAGGTTGAAGAAGCAGAACAGAACCCACCGACGAATCGCCGGAGCGACCCCCGGAGCTGAAGAAACCGTCAATTCTTAAGAGAAGGGAGAAGAAAGAAGAGAGCAGAGAGCAGAGAGAGAGAGATCGTTCTTGCGTGGCAATGGCAGGATTCAATTCTCCGACCTTCCTTCTGATCTGCGCCACCGTGTTCGTGGTCTTCAGCTTCTCCTCAACCGCCGTCCTCGGAAGCCTCGGGATCCAGCACAGCGTTGCATGGATTCCTAACCAGGCGACCTGCAAGGGCTCCATAGCGGAGTGTTTCGGCGGAGAGGAGTTCGAATTTGATTCCGAAATCAGCCGCCGTATCTTGGCCACCAGCCAGTACATCAGCTACGGCGCTCTGCGGAGGAACACGGTACCTTGCTCCAGACGCGGTGCATCCTACTACAATTGCCAGCCTGGAGCTCAGGCCAATCCCTATAGCCGTGGATGCAGCGCCATTACGAGGTGCAGGAGTTGAGTAATTTATTTGTACTCTTTGTTTAATAACCTTTACTCTTCCTTTAAATGTTTATTGATCTTTTTTTCTTTCTCTTTTATTTCTTTCCTTTGGGATGGCTTTGATTGTTATACAAATTGAGCAGGGGAGATTGATTATATAGTGTCGTCGTTGTCGTTGAAGTGATGAAAATTGTTGTGGTTAATTAATTATATATCTCTTTTCAATAATGTGATAGTCTTTTAGTGGCTTTGGATGTTCGTCCCTGTTTCTTTTCCTTTCTTGATTGAAGGGAAAAGAGAGTCTGCAAAGGCTGTAATAAGTTGGAATTAGGGAGAATTATGGATCCCATCATGAGATCAGATTGAGAATAAATTGATTGTTGTTTGAGTATAATTGATTGAGTTTCTGGTGTTGTTTTCGGGTTTAGATGAACTTCACGAGGTCATTTCTTTCCATTTGGGTTATGAAAGGGTGACTAGAACCTTTATTTTCGTTACCTTGTTTTCTGTTTCTCTTTTCTCTATTTGTGGTAAAGAATCTTAAACCCTTTAGGGAAAGTATTTAGAGAAGAGTTTTCTGGAGGAATCATATCAACATTTTGATTCTTGGTACTCTTGAATGGGCTATCATGTTCACAACACAACTAAATATCAGACATTTATTAGCGTATGCATATATATATATGTGTGTGTGTGTGTTTTGTGATCTACTTAGTTTTAGTGAGATTCTGAGGACATTAATGTATTCTTTAAGTAAAACAAGTTCCATGGATTAGCCTAATGATCAAAAGGGTGACTCAGATGTGAGATCCCATGTCGGTTGGAGAGAGGAACTAAGCATTCTTGATAAGGGTATGAAAATCTCTCCTTATCTCCCTACCAGACACACTTTTAAAAATCTTGGGGAAGCCCGAAAAGGAAAGGCCAAATAGGACAATATTTGCTACCAGTGAATTTGGGTTGTTACAAATGATATTAGAGCCTGGGCAGTGTGCTAGCGAGGACGCTGGCCCCCAAGAGGGTGGATTGTGAGATCCCACCTCAGTTGGAGAGGAGAACGAAACATTCTTTATAAGGGTGTGAAAATCTCTCCCTAGCAAACACGTTTTAAAAACCTTAAGAGAGAGACCGAAAGGAAAAAAATCTTATAAGGGTGTGAAAATCTCTTCCTAGAAGACACCGTTTTAAAAACATTGAGGGAAAGCTCGAAAGAGAAAAGCCAAAAAGAACAATATCTGCTAGCAGTAGGTGGACGGTTATATTTTTTAGTTACGGGTTCAAACTAGGTGGTGCCGTGGTGGCTATCTACCTGGATGTTAAATGTTCTTCTACTCTTCTAACTCTGGCTGGTCGTGTTATGAGATTGGTCTAGTTATACATGATGTGGATCGGACATTATATGTATCGATCTATCTATTTGAGTAATGGTAAAGATGTGTTTGTCTGAATGGCTTAAACTTGAAAGATGGAGATTTTTTTTTTAAGTTAAAAGAGAGTCCCAAATAATTGTGGGTATGATTAGGCTTCTTGAACAAGGTAATTTGAGAAGTGGTTGTGATGTCTTATTTGTCGTTTGATGTGACTTGCTGAGAAAAAGGTTGATGTTGGATGGATATTATATATATATTTTGAGTTTGGTATGATTTTGACATGCCTCTTCCCATATATCTATTTTTTATGGTCCAAGTGTCGGTTAAAAGAAACCATTGTTTAGGAGTCATTTTGGAGAAAGATAAACCAAATCTGGAAAGCCCCACATGACCTTACTTGAATGAGATCTGTTCTATAGGTTGCCCAAAATCCTTACTATATTTGACAGATGCGATTTCCAACTTCACCAACCAAACTCTACCCACCATGTCATTTGAGTTCAGTTCAGACCTGATATGAACTCATATAGATGTTTCAATAAGGCTATGTCGATCTCGTAAACGAGGGAAGGAAGGAAGAAACCCAATTCTTTATAGCCCTTTCCAGATCTGGTTGAGTTAGCTGTTTGGTTGGAACGTTAGATGTTTGAGGAGTTTCACATTAGATCTTGTAGGATTTGAATCTGCTGTACAATCTTTTGATTTTGATCTGGATGATCACAGATCTAGCTTGATCTGCTGGGATTTATTCATCGTTGTTGTTGTATGATGTCGATCTCAATAACTGAATCGGAGACCGTGTAGACTTCTTTTGATTTTGATTTGAATGATCACAGATCTAGCTTGATCTATTGGGATTTGTTCATCGTTGTTGTATGATGTCATCTCAATAACTGAATTTGAGTCCATGTAGACGATCCAATTGGCTCAAAGAGAGACGTCTTTTGATTTTGATCTGAATGATCATAGATCTAGCTTGATTTGCTGGGATTTGTTCATTGTTGTATGGTGTCGATCTCAATAACTGAATCTAAGACCGTGTAGACGACCCAAACGGCTCAAAGAGAGCGACGTCTGCACGGGAGAATCTATTTCCCTCTTCGTGTAATTAATGGTTGGGCCATGACACCCTAGCAGTGACTTAAACTGTTGCACATTGTGGTTCCTTTAACAACCATAACTTGTCTTTTCTCTATGTTTTATGTCTCTTCCTTGTCCATGGCAAAGGGCATCGAAGGTCCTTTTGGTTTTGTATTGGGTCATTTTTACAAATAGTTAAGAGTGTTTCTAAAAATTGTTTGGTTATATAACCAAAAAGTAATTATTTCTCTTGAAAAGTGGCATCTCCAACCATCACCTCACCGAACTCACAATCAATATTATCTTTTTGAGTTGGAATTGTTAGGTTGAATGACACTATGACCTATATGGGTCACGACCTCATGTATTTACAGATTGGTAACAAACTATAAATCATAGATTCTCCTTGATTCATGTAACAAACAAGTAAATCAGTAGATGATCTATTCTTCATTTAAACCGTAATTATTTAGAATTTTGGACAAAAATTGAGACTTCTAGAATGAAAACTTGAATTTCAGTACCACACCATTTTGTTCCAATTTTTGTTGAAATTTCAAAGGATATCTATTTGAAGGGTAGTTTTGATCATTTATGTTGTACTTTTTGTGTTCAACAATACGTGAGAAAAATTCGAATCTCTAACATTTTAGTTAATAATGTAATATCTTAAGATGGTTAGGTTGCAAAACGGACATAATAATTGAAGTTTATTAGGTTAATTTTTGAGCTAACGAGATAAATACAATAGAACGGAAAAATCTTAGATATTTTAGTATTTATGATAAATATTGGTTTTGAAAATCATCATTCAAACAATATGTTTTTTAAAAATAATATTTATCATAAATATTTGAAATAATTATCTTTGAATGAAAATTGTATATTACAAAAGAAAAAAAAAATCAAAATGGAAAATTAAATATAGGTGTGAAAATAGGTTATTTGTCATATAACAACTAATTGGGCCATGAAATTGTTGGGCCTCCCTCATTTTATCCGGCCCCAAATTCGGCCCATTTGGACATTTCTCCTCTATTAATCGGGGGGGAATTCTACTCCTTACAATTTTCACGTCTCTGAAAACTCGAGAAGAAGCTAAAATCCTAGAAAATGGCCACCGGGATGAAGCTCCCCATGGCTGTTAGCTTGCAGAAACCCATGGCTATGGCGGTTCCATCTTCCTCATCTCGTCTCCCTAGAAGGATCAATTTCAGTACTTGTTGCAGCATGAGCGCTACAAGCAAGGCGAAAATCCCTTTACCTCCGATAAACCCAAAGGATCCATTTCTTGCGAAGCTCGCTTCAGTAGCTTCAACCTCACCTGAAACGTTGCTAAGTCGCCCTGGAAATTCCGATTCTCTTCCATATTTGGATATTTTTGATTCTCCTCAGCTCATGGCTGCGCCTGCCCAAGTAAGTAAGCTGTCCCTCGCTTAATTTCATATGCGTTTTTTGTTCTTGCTGGTGTTTATATGATTTTCTGTTTGGAAACGGAGTTTTATTTAAATTAAGTTGTAGTAATTTGAATTAAGTTTTGTTAGGTAGCTAATGTTGTGAATTTGGTGATTTTCTTATTGGATAAGGTTGAAAGATCAGTTTCCTACAACGAGCATAGGTCGAGGAGGCCACCGCCTGACTTGCCGTCTCTGTTACTTCATGGAAGAATTGTTTACATCGGAATGCCTGTAAGTGATTGAATTGGTGTTACTGCTGTGCTATACGATTTAACTTGTTTTTCGAGGAACTATTCAACTAATATAAAGGGGGAATTTACCACGATTTTTTCAATATCTTATAGTCGAGTAGTTACATTGAATGAAAAAAATGAAGCATGTTCTTTAAAATTGTATAAAATTAAAACGTTTTAACTAATCGACGCTGTAAAGGTGGCTCTCATAATTGCATATCGTATATCTTTAGAGGCCTACAGAGTGAAGGAAATTGTAGTTCAGGAATGAGTGATGTTAAGCTTTTTCACGAACCTTGTTGATTGAACTGAAAGTGTTAATTAAGTTCTGTTGGGGTGCTTCGGTATTGTGATCCTATTAAAACAGATTTTATGACCTCATTCAGCTACTGATTTTGAAGCTTAGCAATTTTTTTTTTTCAAGTGCTCTATACACTGTAGAATGATTTTCGTTTCTTTCCTCTCGAGTTGCATAAGCCCCTATGAAATAGCCATTCACAATATAAGTGTAACATGGTTTTTTTTCTGAGGCATAATTGATTCTAAATGGTTTAGAAACTATTGTGTCAACATTCTGAGCAGTTTTTAACTGTCTTTTAAAAGAAGCTTTCAGCTTCTTGTGTAGAGAATACCATAGTATCTGATCCCTCTTCATTCAATCATTTCTACTTTCAGTTGGTTCCAGCTGTCACGGAGCTAGTTATTGCCCAACTGATGTACTTGCAATGGATGGATCCAAAAGAACCAATATACATTTATATAAACTCCTCAGGAACAACTCGTGATGATGGTGAAACTGTAAGCTTTGAAATTATTCAGCTACATGAAACGAGTCAAATTAAGCTGTTAAAAGCATGCATATCTTCTTCTTGCTTTATAAAATCTTCTGCCTGCCGTTAGGAATTTCAGGGTTTGTATTCAGACTATGTCTTACTCATATGTCTGTGTTCACATGCTTATTGTTAAAGTATTTATTTAAGTTTAAATTTACCGTAAGTATTACCTTGACATCAAAGAAGATTTTGATCTGATGCTTTATTTTTGTCCTAGTTGATTCTGATTTGACAATAGAAGTATATTCTTTTTTTTCCCAATAACCAAATAATTGTCTGTAGATACGAATATTTGATATGATTCCATCCTTAAATTTTCTTCCCTATCAACTTAAGTTTTTGGGTTCGGTGGTAACTGAACATAGTATGAGAGGTGGAAGTCTCTCGATCAAATCCCTACATCCTATATTAGCATTCATTTTCTTCTCCATTCAAAATCAAGAAAAACAATCTTTTAAACTTTATATTATTCCTCTCTCCAAAATGAGATTGTAGCGCTCTTCTTTAGCTTGGCCAAAAGTTTGCTTGCTTGATTGGAGCCATATTTTGTAGCTTGGCTCCTTTTGGGCTGGTTTTTTTGAATTCCCTTTATAATCTTTCATTTTTTTTTTTTTTTTGTCAATGACGGCTCAATCTTTATATGAAAACAATAAAAAATGTGATTGTAGTTTCTAGATTTTGCATTTCCAAAAATATGTTTAACTGTAATTCTTAGGATAGCTTCTTGATCCTAAATATGTGTAATTGGGCGTGGGTTAGTATTCCGAGAACAGTAATACCTGAATCAGGTAGTTTACTTCAATTAGTACCTAACACAAAAATTACTGTAATAATAAAAAAAAGAAAGGTTCATCGACCTCAGTAGACCAATGGTAGAACAATTTTTTCTTCCTGACAAAGTACTCTCCATCAACAATAGCATGGAGATGCAGCTGTGTCTTTCGCGAGCTCTGCTAATGATGTTACATGAGGTGATGAGTCTTTCACAATGTTATACGATCTGTTCATGAAAAGATATATATTTTTCATGACATTATCCGAGTATGGAACAGAGAGGGTATGGCTTCCACTTGCTAGCCCGCTATTTAAATTTAGGAAAGTGGGTTTGTACAAATACGGATGGTTTAGATGAATATTGCAAAATATGGTAATGGAGGGAAGATGAGTCTTTCTGTTTCACGAGCTAGCTTATTAATTTGATTGTGGAAATGGGTTTTATGATGCTGCATGTGTTTGTACAAGACTGGGATATGTAAAATAATGTTGGAATGCTCTTTTCTGAAAAATTACTTAAGGTTTCTATTGATTCTAAAATTGGAAAACCCAAGCATGTAAAATGATCTCCCCCCCACCTCCCCTTCAAAAAATGGGTTGTGTTATGACCCTCTACTTAACTCCAAAAAGGTTTTCAAATTTTGGCTGTCAGAAACCTTTTTCTTGTATTTACGTATCCCCTGATTTTCAGAAACATAAAAAATGAGAATGGATCTTATGCTGAACAGGCCCTGCAATATCTTATGATAGATCACCTTTTAAACCAATCACTTGATAAATTTATGATGCTCTTTACAGGTTTATCGAATAATAAGAAAGAAAAGCATTATATCTTGTTCGGTTTGGAATGGCATTTATTTGTTTGTCATCCTTTTTTCAACATATTAAATTATTTGGCATTCAGGTCGCGATGGAGACAGAGGGCTTTGCTATCTATGATGCTATGATGCAGTTAAAAAACGAGGTGTGTTTTCTTGTGAACCATTCCGTTCATTCCTACTATTTTTTTGCTGGCAAGATGACAACTAGATGCATTGTGGAGTCTGGAATTACTGGTTAATTTCATTGATTGGTATCTTAGTGTAAAGTTATCACTGCACCTAGTATGGCCTCTCTGGTCATGTCCATTGTTTTCATGAAATGGTAGGAACTTGAAATTTCTAGTGTTGTAGGTGCAACTGGCCTGAGAAATGACATGCTGATTGACCTTTTTTGCTCCAGACTAATAATTTTAATTTTGTAAAAAAGATTGAAAGAAAATATTTCTGTAATGTAGGTAGTGTCCTTGGAAATAATTATGCTTTTGTTGTTTGAATCTCTTGCTGGTTTTGTGAAAATTTTATCATCTTTCCATTTGTAAAACATGATACCAAATATCTCATACAGATACACACATTGACTGTTGGAGCTGCCATAGGTCAAGCTTGTCTATTGCTTGCTGCAGGAACTAAAGGCAGACGTTTTATGATGCCACATTCCAAAGGTTTGATGCTTTTGGCACGTTAATTTCTGTTTTGAATTGGTAACTATACTTGCTTGCTCGTATAGAATAATCAAATTTTCCCTCGAATTCATTCCAGCCATGATACAGCAGCCTCGTGTCCCTTCATCTGGTTTGATGCCTGCTAGTGACATTCTGATTCGCGCAAAAGAGGTCAAGATCCTTCTATTGCTTGATAATTTATTTGAAGTAGAACTCAGTTTCTATGACACTGATTTTTTATGGAGCTCTTAGCACTTCGATTCAAGTAGTGAAAAAGGAACTATTCAAAGTCTCAATCAAGTAACCACAGTTAATTTTTTTTTTTTTTTTTTTGCAATGACGATTTGTGCATCGTCATATATCGAGTGAATTGGAATTAACTGGTAGATTTGTATCTTATTCCCATAAAATTTCAAGGGAATTTCCCCCCTACAAGGATACAAGTTGAGCTGTGTATTTCATCTCGTCTTTCAGGTGATAACAAACAGGGACACACTAGTGGAACTCCTAGCAAAGCACACTGGAAATGTAAGCCTAGACAACATTTGTTTCTACTCTTTTCTATGAACTCCAGACACGACATTCCATTTAATTCCTTATACAATCTTAATATTGTCAGTCACTAGAGACAGTAGCTAATGCGATGAAAAGACCATTCTACATGGACGCAATAAAAGCGAAACAATTTGGAGTTATCGACAAGGTAAATTAACGCACAGAACTTTTTTTGGGTTGTAACACGATGCGCTTGCCTCGTTGCTTATGCCTGTAGATTATAATCTAAGTTGGCAACATGTCTCCAGATTCTTTGGCGAGGTCAGGAGAAGATTATGGCTGAAGTGGCTTCCCCGGAGGATTGGGACAAAGGAGCTGGCATCAAAGCTGTTGATGAACTCTAAATCCCCTCTCAGATCTACTCTTCATTCATAGCAAGTAAGCCTATTGTTTCTCCTTTTTGCAAACTCAAATGCCTTGTTCTTTTTTCAGTATTCAACGTGCAGATGTGTTTTAAAGCCAATAGAATTTAATCTTTCCTTTTGAAGCATGGTTTCATTGGAATTGAAATTTGGGGTAGAATGAGAATCATAATTTGGCATAGATGCGTAATATCATTTAGTTGTTAAAGTGAGGAAATATTTGCTTAGCTCAGTTGAAATTTTTAACAATAATACCATCCCAATTATGTAAAATATGAAGCCTCCTGCAAGTTTTTTTTGATCAAGTGGCGATATTGATGATAGTGATATTGATCATAGTGGCGAGATACTGATGATAGTGACGATATCGAAGGTGACCTTGAAATGAAGTTGGAGTTTCTAGCTATGATGAATGTGTCGCTAATTATGAATATGATGCTGGAAACAGATTGATTTTATATCGTCCTTCAATTCAGGTTAGCTAAAGCAATGTCTCTTGCACAATATTGATTTCAAATATATAAATTATGGAGACATGTATTTAAACAATTTTCTAGGTGTTAAAATTAGAATTCCCCATTTTCTCAAAAGCGTTAAAAAATCCCTATTTAACTTCCTTCCGAAGTGATACAAAAAGAGAAAAAAGGATAAAGATATGATCAAACTTTTCTTTAGATGCAACAACAAGCCATCTTTTAATGCATTTCTCCATTGCTAATATTGATTAAGATTGAACGTAGGTTATTTTATTCACTTTTTTTTTCTGTTATTTATTTGTCATATTTTGCTAATTATATTCATTAATTATCGAGTTAATACTTGTTAAAGCGGTTTAAAATTTTAAAATTTTAGGAATTAATAATTTTAATAGATAATTTTTCAAAAGCTAATATTTTTTACTTTTAATATTAGTTTTCTAAAGGAAAAGAAAAATTCAATTAATAGAAATTTATAGAAAAGAGTCGGCCATTGGCTAATTCACACGTGGCATTTATTGATTTGTTAGTTGTTTCTAATTGGGCTTGCATTAAAGGAATTGTTCAAAAAACGCGGTTTTNCCAATTTGCCAAAAAAAAAAAAAAAAAAAAAAAAGGACTTTTACTTTTATTTATTTTCTTTGTTGAGGTATATAATTATTATTTATTTTTATTCCTTTATCCCATTCACCATTTTAATGAAGATAATACTTGTTTTTCATCCCTTTGCTTCGAGTTTTAATCTAATTAATTAATTAATTCAAGTTAGTGGTGCTCAAGTATGATTAAAGAAAGAAGAATCTCAAAACAAAACAACTTTTCGTATAATTGTTTTTTTATTATCGTTAACTCGAACTGTAATTAAGTTGGTAATTATTACGTTAATTATAAAAATTGATTTATTATATATTAAAGAAATATAAAAGTCTTCGTAATCTCTTAAGATATGAGTTGACTATAAAAAAATTATAAGTAAAATTACTTATCGTACATTGATGATTACGTAGTTAAATAACGAAAAAGACGCATTTTTGAATGTTCGAATGGAGAATGTTTGAAAAACGTAAAAAGTTGCCATTATTACCCCTATAGAAAATGGTTCGTGAACGAAACCACTTGAGGGTGTTTTTCTTAACACATAAAATTTTTCATTCAAGTTTGGGTCATAAAATTTCATACATGATCGATGATCGAGATTTTTTTTTTTTTTTTTTTGTGGGAATATTCATAAAAGAGGAAGAGGCTAAATTATGAGCATCTTCCTCTCAAATTCTCGTTTTTAAGTCAAGATTGTTCATGAATTTGAATCTTTCTAAAAGAGAATATTTATTAATTTATAGACTTATCGGATTGGTATGAACTATGAACATTTAGTCCTTGGGGAAATTCGTAGTAATAATGGAAATCAATTCAGAACAGAACACATTCCATGTCCAAATTCCAAATCATGCTGCGTTCGTCAATTTGCTATCCTGCGCGGGTCAGCCATCATTTGAAGATTTCAACCAGAAAAAACAGATGTAAGATAGGGAGAAACTCTTATCCCTAAAATCCATCCATCTTCAGAACTTGATTCTATCAAATTTGTCTGTAAATATCTCTCTCTCTAGTGCCCGAGGTCGTGTGAATCGGAATCATTCGTGTAATCGTTGCTTGGCTGCTTTGTGTTGACCTATTTTTGATACTCTTTCCATCCAGGGGGCTTTTCTTCTTGTTCTTCTTGTTCTTATTCTTCTTGTTTTGTTGTGTGGATTCATTGTATCGACTTTGATTTGATTCTTTCGTCTCTTTTGAAGAGTTGGGTGTTTAATTTTCTCCAATTTGGAGGATACCCTTTTGATCTTCCTTCGACTTGAAACAGCCAATATTGATTTTCCCTCTTTTGAAGAGCCAAATTCCTTCTATAAACAGGTTAAGTTGAGCCATTAGAGGAAGTTCTAGGGCTTTCTGGTGTGAATCTTGGAGGAAACTGTGTAGTAGAAGAAGAAGAAGAAGGATGATGACAATGGAAGGAATGGAAAAGGGGGTTTTGGATGACATAATTAGAAGGCTGTTGGAAGGTAGAGGCGGCAAACAGGTTCAGCTTTCAGAGGCTGAAATCCGCCATCTCTGTGTCAACGCCAGACAAATTTTCCTCTCTCAACCAAATCTCCTCCGCCTTAGTGCTCCTATTCGTATCTGTGGTAAGTTTGATTCTCTCTCTTCTTCTGTTCCTTTCATTTGTGGATTGTAATGCTTTCTAATGCTGCTTTGGACAATCTTAGCTAAGTCTATGGTTAATTGTAGTTCAAATTGTTGCTTCAACGTATGGCTTGGAATTTTGATTAGCTTGAGTTTGTGGAATTGTAGTTCAAGTTTGTATGATCTTTATTTGGTTTATGAGACTATGATTTGTAAGAGTTTGTGTATAGTTTGGTGGGTTTTAAAGGTTTTCGTGTATGGAGTTGGTAGAATCGACAAACGGGTACTCGGTAGGCTCGATCTATGTTTGGTTTGCGCTTAGAGTTAACATATGGTTCAGTGTGGCTTGCAAATGCTTAGGCTATGGAGTTGGTAGAATCAACAAACTGGTACTCGGTAGGCTCGATCTATGTTTAGTTTGCGCTTAGAGTTAACGTATGGTTCAGTGTGGCTTGCAAAAGCTTTGGTTATGGAGTCTTGGATGAGAAATTCACGAATGAAATGATGCCATGATTTTGATGGAGTTTTGATACAATTTTCTTCTTTTGGTTTGATATTTGAGCTTTCTTGTATAAACTACGAAACGAGCTTGAAACGATAAATAAACAACGTCCAATTCTTATGAATTAACCTTATTTCATATGCTGCCTCTTGTTAACTCTGGGCTCTGCTGGGTTCTTCTTCCAGGTGATATACATGGTCAATACAAAGATCTTCTTAGACTATTTGAATATGGTGGGTACCCTCCTTCTGCAAATTATCTTTTTCTTGGCGATTATGTCGACCGAGGCAAGCAAAGTTTGGAAACGATATGTTTACTTTTGGCGTATAAAATAAGACACCCAAATAAAGTATTTCTCTTGAGAGGGAACCACGAAGATGCAAAGATCAATCGAGTCTATGGTTTCTACGATGAATGTAAAAGGAGGTTTAACGTTCGGCTCTGGAAAATATTTACCGATTGTTTCAACTGCTTGCCTGTGGCTGGACTTATTGATGGTAAGATCCTCTGTATGCATGGAGGATTATCTCCAGATTTGAAAAGTTTGGATCAGATTACGCAACTTCCAAGGCCTACCGAGATCCCCGACAATGGTCTTCTCTGTGATCTGCTTTGGTCTGATCCCGATCCTAGTATTCAGGGATGGGCAGATAGTGATCGAGGCGTTTCTTGTACTTTTGGATCAGATCGAGTGGTTGAATTCTTAGATAAGAATGACCTCGATCTCATTTGTCGTGGTCATCAGGTAAAATGCTCTTCCCTGAAGTTTAATACCAACTCTTTATACCTGTTTCTGTTTCGAGCTGTTGACAGTATGCATTTTGTTGAAGTTCATCGAGACTGTTGCATGAGTATAGATTGCAAATATTTCCATCTTTCATTTTGTTATCATCGTTACGAAAATCGTTTTTGTGATTTAACATCTAGGATGCCCTGGAAGTTGTCTATGATTCAAATACAGCAGTCTATTCGGTTGTCTTGTGTAATTCATTTTGAAATCGTTACGGTTTCGAGCATCTCAGCTCTCTGATTCGCTTTGTACTTCTTAGTTCTTACCCTGCTCTTTAGATTTTTGAGTTCTTTCCATTTTATTACACAGGTGGTGGAGGATGGTTATGAATTCTTTGCCAAAAGAAGGTTGGTGACCATATTTTCTGCTCCGAACTATGGCGGAGAGTTCGACAATGCAGGTGCTCTATTGAGCGTTGATGAGTCTCTAATTTGTTCATTTGAAATATTGAAACCCGAGCAAAGAGCAGAAGGAAGCAGTTCGGGAATAATTCTTAAGAAGGTACGATACCGAACAAGCGAACATCTTCATCTGCCATTTTCCATTCATTTTCGGTCTAGCATCGTTAAGACTGTTGTATTGAAAGTTCTGTATCTTTTGTTGAACAGCCTCCCAAAATTGGAAGAACTTGATTACTTGGAGGAGTTCCTTGTCAATCCTTGGAAGATGAAAATCAAGCTCGAGTGGTGTTGGGGACGACGGAGTCGTTCGTGTTCTGCACTTCTTAGTTTTCAAGCTTGTAATGACCATGTCGGAGGTCTGTCGATCGAAGCTGTAAACATCGAGTATGTCCCCGTCCCGGTAGTCGTGCAGGTGGTAGATTTCAATGGTCTCCAATGGCTTCACTAATTGGAGTGCAGAAGTTGTGTGTGTGTGTAAAGATGAAAGCAAATGGTTCCTCCTGAAATGACTTAGAAAGAGATTGCTTCTTCCATGGTAGTGATTGACTGAATTTCTAATGTTATAATATCCGGTTGAAATCTCTCCATTTTCTGAATTAAAAAAAGATAAAATTATTTTTATGCTATATAATAAGACTAAATTAATAATAATGCTATTTTATCTCAAAAAAAAAAAAAAATGTATATATATATATATATATATATATATTTATTTTTTACGAAAACATTAGTATTTTGTTTCAAAAATAAATTTGAATTTTTAATATATTTCGAAATAAAGTTTCATTAATATTTTTCAATTTTTTTAAAAGTTAAAAATAAAATAAAAATATATAAATGAAAATTGTTTAATGACACTTTATAGATTTTTTTTTAAACTTTGAAAAGTATTTTTGAAATGTGATATTAATCATAAATGTATATTTAAATTTTTAAAAAGTTTAAGGATATTAGGCGTGAGGAAATATATGGAATATGGTAAATTCCTCTTAGCCTTTTTCATCTCCATTTTGTCTTGTGGACATCTCTAACTATAGCCTAATCCGTTATAAGGGGCATTCAACGAATATAGAGGTGTGAGGGAATACCTGAAATATGATACCTGAAATATGCTACATTCGTCGCAGCTCCGCTCCGCATGGTTCCATGAACATCTCTAGATATAGCTATGGTAGATATCCTATGAATGTGGAGACCGGGGAGAATATCTGGAACTTGCTATAAATGTCTTTATCATAGTTTTGGAAAAACAACAAAAGTTTGTTGAACAAACACAGTAACATTCAAGAATTTCCACCTGAAACTGTAACAAAAACTGTGTTGGATGATCCAACATCCCACCATTCTCCAAAGAAACAGGAAGGGGAAGAAAGCAATCAAATAAATATCCAAACTACATAACTGTTATGCTCACCAAAAATTCTTCAGAAGATTAATCTTAATACACTATTCAAGAGAAATTATCACATTATCCAGTTCTTCCTACAATTGTACAACTACATTAACTCCATTCTTATCTTCTTTCTTTCATTCAAATGGAAGAGCAACCATGGCTGCTACTTTTCAAGCATCAGAACTTGTTGGCCAGCTGAGTCTTTTTTTTTTTTTTTTTTTTCTACAAATGGTGAACCTCAATGAATATAAGCGGGAGAAGACGAGTACAACGAAGAGATGAGCGAAAAAGCATTGAAGGTCTGATTTTTCCTTTTTCTTTTAAAAGAAAGTTAATGGAAAAGAGGCATAGTTTACCTCATAAATTGGCGTAGGTGTCAGTCATCTTCTACTTCCTCTCCTGATTCCTTGAGTACCAAGAGAACTCGGACTCATATTTGCTTCAATTTTCTTCGTTGCTCGTTGAATAGCGGCATATTTCTGGCGCTGGCTATGACTTTGCCTTTTGCTGCATTATAGACAGTATAAGAATAGAACAGATGAAAGAAAAAAAAAAAGTGGTAGAACATTTTGGGTCTTTAACTCCTTCCTTTCCACCTTTTTGTTTCAATAATGTTTTTGAAATTGAAGCCAATTTGAAAACTAAGACAACAGCTTTTAAAAACTTATTTTTGTTTTTCGAATTTTTCTAAGAATTCAAATGTTTACAAAGGAAAGATGAGAACTATGACTAAGAAATGATGAGAAAACCAGCGCAATTATCTTATAGAAGCTAAAACCAAAAGCATAGCGATCGACAAACTTATAAAAACGGACTGTATTCAAGTCTTGGAAAATAAAAGACCATGTAATGAAAATGTTTAGATTCCCCAACCTTGCAAACAGAAGCCCTGCTGAAAACACCACGGACCCGATCAGCCACGAAACCCGTTCATGAAAACTCATTTCTTTCACCCATTGCTGGAAAGCCTCCCAGAAACCCAAGTAACCTGTTCTTTGTGATGACACTACAGATGGTGAAGTCTTCCACGAATTAGCAATGGAGTCTAGTCTGGCTTTACTTCCATAGCAAGAGGCTTCTTCTTCAGAAATTTTAACTGAAAAACCTGCAGCGCTGCAAAGCTCCGTGCCATTCGAGACCCATTCAGAAGCCCTGCCACACACAAAGTCATTCACTCCACATGGTGCTAGAACCTGAAGCATAAAATCTAATCAGGATGTATATTTATTCTCGCCTTGCGGCCAAGGTTCAAGTTTATACTTCTACTTCTCGTTAGTTAAAAGAAAATCGTGCATGTAGAAAAAATGGAAAAAACAAACTAATATAACTTTAATGAATTTCCAATCATATTATGTTGTGAAAATAACAATAAAAATTACACACCGTCACGCACACCATCACATATGAAAGTCAGCCTAACACATCAATTTCATTCCTCAACTTCGAACATTGTGTTTATTTAGTCCATAAAGTTAATAGCATTAACGCAATACTAATGAGGCATGCCTATCAGATAAACATCTACTGAGTTGGAATGATGTGCTAGACAACTAAATAGGCTGATGGTATGTCGATGGCATTCATAGAAAATACTAAATAGAAGCATAATCCTAAGTTCTAGAATTAAATACACATGTTGTTACTGCTTAGAGACCAGATTTATAGCTAATCCAAAGTTTTAACAGTAATTAAACATATTTTTCCTTTTTCCTTGTAAAATGAGTGTCAAGATCTATGTGCCATCAAGACAATCAGTTTTTAGAAACCTCGTTGGTCAAGGTTATTTCATACTCCAAACCTCTTTGTGTAATAAGGCATAACCAGCCAAAAAAAAAAAAAAAAAAAAAAAAAAAAAAAAAAAAAAAAACTGTTCACCTGCATTTTAGCATCAACAGAAAAGTAAGCATCAGAGCAAGCTTTGAAGACTCTGTTGCAGAAAGAGGCACATATTAGAGGAGGTCCGGGTCGAACGCCAACTTGTGGATCACAAATTGAGCACTCCAGAAGTTCCCATAATTGCAAGCATTCTTGGTTGCCTTCCCCTGTCGAAGCCAGCCTCCTAACAGAAAGCAAAGCCGCGTGCGTTTGGGCTACACCACAGCAAGTCCTCTTTCGGAAGACTCGACAAAGCGTCAAATCTTGTGCTTTGCTAACCTTTTTCGGAGGTTTTCCTTCCAATGAGAAGGGTGGGAAACGACCACCTTGCGAAATGCAGACATCATTTGATTCACCTACAAGAAAAACACAATTTGTAAAACAAGTCCTATTTGCAACATAAAGAAGAGGTAAATTAGTATTCCCCACAATCCATACGTTAACTATTAATGTGATACAAGTCATTCCCTATATAAAGTAGAAAAGAAATTAAAAATTCTACAAAGCTATGTCTACCAAACCAAATTACAAATACGCATGGAAGTGAAGCACTGAAAAATAGATTCTTAATTCAATATGATGAAAAGAAAAAGACTTATTCAACTTAGATATGAGGCAAACATACAGCCAAGTTCATCCAAACTCATACAACCAAGTCAACCAATAAATTCACAAGAAAGAAGAAACTGCCATAAAGTTTTGTGTTCTACAAGAAAAGAAAATTCTTTACTCACCGATCAATACTCATTGATAGAAGGCTGATTCCAGAGATTTAGAAAAACAACCATGTTTCCAGATATGAAACAAAAGAGTTGATAAATTGGAAAGAAAAACATATAATTTGTCAAAAAATTACACAAAATAAGGAATCAAAAACTTCATTGCATCCAAAAAATCTCGTAAGATCAGAGCGCAACTCGCAGAGTCAAAACCCAGCAGCAATCTCCGGAAATCAGGCACAACAATCAAAATAAACACCTAATTTATTTCAATTCGACACGATTATGAATCATTTTGTAATGAATCTAAAATGAAGACAGGACTCCTCATGAGGAAACTATGTTGCAGAAGAGTCGAAGAAGGGAATCGCGGAAGAAAGAAAATCAGTTTACCAGATGAAAAGGGAAGCAGCAGATTGAAATTTAGCAGCATGAATAAGTGCCAAATATTTATATTATTCGTCCTTTGCGCCATTTTTGAACTCCTTCGGTGCAAATTCCAATTCACAGACACGACGAAGGAAGACGATGCTTGGATTTGCAGAGGGACGGACTTTCTGGTGCTGACGGATACTCAACAACCAGTCCTTCTCTGTCCATTGGACCCAAGCCCAACGAAAATAGTTTGGGCTTAATTGGTTGAGACTCATGTGATTTGGGCTTTTTACCGTTAATGGGCCCAATCTTACTAATGAATCACTAATTTACATATTTGTTATAATTTAAAAGCTCATAAAATTTGTTTAGAAAATACTCTTAAAAAATTTCAAAAAGTTTGGCTGATACCCTTAATTTTAATATTTTTTTTTTTTTTAAAAAAATCCTTAAACTTTACAAAATATTTAAAAAATTAGTTCAGACACTCTCGATTTCATTAATACCATTAAACTAAAAAAACGGTTAAAAATACTTTTATATCAGTATATAGATGAAACTGTTGGTATCTCATTTAAAAAAAATACCCGTAAACTTTCGACTAAAACATTTATTACATTTTATTGATCATCTCACTCTTCAATTTCTTTTCTCTCCTATGTTTGAGACCCAACAATTACTCATTTCTCATATTTGTTCTATTGTTTTTTTTTTTTTTTACCATTTTCTTTGAAGCTATCTTGAGTCGGGAAAGAACTTGTTATGAAACTGTTGAGATTTCATCCAAAGTGATTTAATAACTTTGTTAAAGAACAAACCTTTAGATCTAAATTATCTAAGAATCCCAAGAACGATAAGGAATTAACCCAAAGAAAATTTTTGGAATGTATTACCTTGTTTATCAAGATTAGGAGTAAAGTAAACTCGTTTCTAAACTTATGATTCGAGTCATTCAACAAGATAATTTGATTAAGGTTACTTGAATGACTCAACAATTTATAATTTGTTGTACTCGAAAAGTACCGACGACACTTAACTAGGATTTCTAAGAATGGGGGACGGAAAAAAGAGAAGGATGAGAGGGAGGAAAAATATTTAAGCAGAAGACATTAGGGATGCTCTAATCATCAACGTGGATAGTCCAATTGAATTCTGGATTTTGGATTCATGTGTATCTTTTCATTCGTCTCCAAATAAAGAGTTGTTATGAATTTGAAGTC